TAATCGAAATATATAATAAATTAAGTTATAATTGCTTTAAATAGCTATTATATGTCTATATTTTTAGGTCCAAATAAGTGTATAAAATATATTTATCAAACACCCCTAAACTAAATCAACGTGTGTGTGAATAACTAAATAGAAATTAATAAATTCATAAGTTGTTCCAATTTTCGAACCTTAGTGATGAAATATGTCATTTCATCACTCATAAGATTCACAAACTCCAAACTTGTTCTTTTTCACTCTTTTCCCAATGTGTGATTTAAGATAGAATCTTTATACTAACTCATCACATTCTATAGTTTAGATAGATCTCTCTAATTTTACAAGGTTCAACAAATAAGGATCTTCCAAATATTTGATTGCTTCAACTTCCAAGACTCAATTAGGCTAATAATCCCTTATCAAAAAGTCAATTTTTTTCAAACGAGTGTTTCGGAATTAACCAATGCAAATGATACGCCTTTTGTTTCATGCACTTGCTTTTTCTTATTTTTTTATACTTTTTTGCAGCATTCTCTCCGTTAAGTTTTTTAGATAACCCATGCAATTAGCTTTTGACTGATAACTCTCAAGTCAAATGACTTTAGGGTATCATGTTTTAGGCATCCTCATATGCTTAATAATTTGCATCATAAAAGTTATGAATAGAAGTTTCATATATATATATATATATATATATATATATATATATATATAGAGAGAGAGAGAGAGAGAGAGAGAGAGAGAGAGAACTGACCTCTAACTTAAGACTTTCACCTAATTTTATCCCATTTTTCTTAAACAATCCACAAAAATAAATTTTACACATGAAATCCCCATTCATATTCATATCTTAATACAACAGTAAAATCACTGCCAAACTATACTAAATTTGCATCTAAGTTATGCTAATTCAATCTATCAAGCAAATAAGAGGGTGTTTAATTGTCATTTTTATGAAAAAGATGCATTTTAGAATAGTAGATTAATGGAAAATGTATGATTGAAAAATAAGAAAAAGTTTTTGATTTACGTGTAATATTATTTTAATAAAGAATAAGTTGTTGAAAAGAAGAAAGAAAAATGTATTTTGAAAAAAATGGAAATCAAACAGAGCCTAAATAAATTTATTTATTCAAAAATGACTAACTTAGCCCCCATTTGGCTAAATGAAAATGGGTGGAATAGTATTATTTTGATAAATTAGTTGTTGAAAAAAAAAATTACATGTAAAATTATCTTATGGAAGATTGTATAACTGAAAATAGGAGAGAAAAAATGAAATTTAATTTAATGAGGGTCAAGCAATGGCTTAATTCACGTGCCCAATTGATATAAAGTCTTATATGGGTAAGTGTCAATTAATCTAAGCATGTAATCTATTTATAGTTCATAAATCAAACACATATTCTCAATAACTTAAAGCATAAGTAAGCATATAAAGTGATGAAGAAGAAAATGAAAACAGTACTCCTTGAATTTTTTTGGCTAATATTTTTGAAGTAACTTGTTAAAAAATGCATTTCATCTATCAAATTGCTAAGCTCTTTTTACTTGATCTCCAAATATCTGCCAAGGGTGAAAGAAAATAAGTACCTGTCAATGGTGAAAGAAAATAATTATAACAGTCAAAAGATAATGAAAAGTGTGACGTTTATATAACCATTTTTTTACGTCCCCAGAACTTGGAAGTTTGTGCCACATGATTTTTTACTATGTTTGACTCAAATAAATTATTCTCTTATTTAAGCTAGGTATAGATATGATGACTCATTCATTGAAAAGAAACGTGCCTACAACTAATGCAACCTAATAACTACATGCAATGCAAATATTGAAAGCATAATAAATAAAAATGTTAAGAAATTGGGTTGCCTACTAAAGCATTTAATTTATAGTCTTTAGTTAAACTGTATGGGGGAATTGATCATGGTGGTTCATGCTGGAGTCTTGCAGCCTTACACTCCTTGCAGTTTCTAGCTTTACATCATCTTTTTGCCCTCCAAATCTTGCACTCTCCATTATTCTCTCAAGCAAGGCTCTCTAGATGTTTAGGTTTTATCTCCTTCAACCATTGAACTTTTTGAGCAACATATTTGGCCTTCTTCAAGACTAATGGTTGCTTGGTAGCTTATGTAATTTAAAGATCATATGTGCGTCCCCCACCCTCACAGTCAGCTTATCATTCTCCATATCAAACAAGATTTGACTTGTTGCTAAAAAAGCTTGATCTAAGACTATTGACATATCTTGGTTGTCTTCTAGGTCCATAACAAGGAAGTTCGTCTGGAATATCAGATCCCCAACCTTGATTAGCACATCCTCAACCTTGCCTCATAGGTATATGATGCTCTCATTTGCCAACTCTAGCGTCACATTCGATCCTTATCTCCTGGTTTCTTCAAAGTAGACAAAGACATTTAAATTTTCACTTGCATATGTATTAAATTAAAGCCTTAAAATGAAATCCTTTGCCTAGTGGGGGTACTTCAAGAGAGAGACTAACTCAAATCCAAATTTTTTTATCCAATGGTGCGACCAGGATTCGAGCACTCTCCAACTTGTACTATTCACATTCCTAAATCTTCACGTCGCCTCCTCTATTATAGTCAGGGGCGGAGCCAGGATTTTAGTTCAGTGCGGGCAAAATTTTTTCGATGACGAATGTCGAGGTTTTGGTTATGGATTTAATGACGATAAAAAAATAAAACAATAGTACATCATTACTAAAAATAACATAATTTATTTATTACACTTGTTCTTTGCGAGTTTTCATACTTTGATATCGTTGTACAATAACTTTATTATCGAGCCTCAAAAATATATCTTTCTCTACATAAACAATTGTGCTATCATTCATCCACTTATCACCCAATTACTACTAGGAGTGGGAGTAATTTGAGATGTCAAATGAATCACAAATACTGGAAGCAACTCACAAAACTCAATGCAATTCACAATTTCACATAATCAATTCACAGTGCAATACGCCAATACCTATTTATACCATTTGTCTAGTGCAATTCACAATTTCACTTAATCAATTCACAGTTCAATGCTCCAATTCACAATTTCACAATGCAATATATACTATTTCCAAATACTAGGCAACTTGAACTTGCAATCACAGATTCCTAGAGAACCAGAGCCTAGAGGCAACAACGAACTGATGGTCCACTGGAAGTTTGTGTCGCTTCGAGCAATTAAAGAACAAAGTGCTAATTTCATATGTTAAAATATATATATATATATATATTATTACAATTTACATAAATTGAAATAACAAAAAAAAGGGGAAAAAAATTGGGGCTTCGCCTTTTGCTTTCTGGAATCTGGCTTCTTCTTTTGTTGGCTCGGCTAGTTGGCGTTGGCACTTAGCGCCTTGGGGAAGCTGAGGATGTAGAGTCGAAGTCAGAGATATGAGATGTCAAGATGAGAGCCTAGAGTAGGAGATATACAATAATGGACTGTCGGAGAGGGAAAGGGAACGGCGATCGTACTGTGACGACTGTTGGGGACGACGGTTGACGGAGAGGAAAGGGAACGACGGGCTTTGTCACCAGTTGAGAGGGAAGTGGGTGGCGAAGTGCGAAGTCGTCACAGACAAAGTCACGAAGGGTAGAAATTTTGAAATGAATGAATGGGTTTGGGTCAACAATTGATTCAATTGAATTTTGATATGAATGGGTCTAAAACGGGTCATGGCATTGCACAATTGGGCTTCTCTATCTGGGCTGGATAGAGAATTGGGTTATTGGGTTAAACAAATAAACAAACCAAAAAAAAAAAAAATATATATATATAT